ACGAACTCGCTTTAATGCTCATAGGTCAGACATCAAATTAAAGAAAAGACAAGCCTGTTTCTAATCATTTCAACCTCGACAACCATTCAATAGACGATCTCACCCTAATCCCAATTGAGCGTATAGAAATTGACTTGCCCGAAGATGAAACTACCAAATTCCGTCAATCTAGGGAGGCCCATTGGATTGAGACATTGAATACAGCAAGACCTATAGGACTAAATATTCATCATAATGTAGGCATAGCACCCTTTGTTGTCCCGTTTAATACAACCAGCAATCGAGCAAGCAAGATAGTTCATGCCCACTATAAGAGCCTTCAAGAGAAATTCCCCCATGTCTATAAGCAGAAAATGATAGTTGCATATTCAAAAAATAAGAACTTAAATGATATTGTTCATAGTAAACTAAAAACAATCAGTACATAACAGATACTATACTTCTCGCCCATCGGGCGAGTTATTTTTTCTAATTTCAGATCAGAATAAGAACAGAAGAAAACCCAATATCAAGACCCTTAATCCTAATTTTTAAATAAAGTGTCTGCTCCACCCTAGGCCTGTACATTTGGGAGAATCAAACCCTCCCTTCCCCGAAAACTTAATTGCTCATAACGCCAGTGGTTTTGACAACTGGATTGCACTTCAAAGCATTAATAAACTAACACAATGTCCACTAGTAACAGATAAAAAAAATTCTATCTCTTCCTTTATCTAATCCATATACAGAAGAAAGATTGCAGAAAAAGTTGAAAAGAGAGAAAAAAAGAGATAAAAAAATATCTGATAAAATAACTATTTACAAAACATATGTCTCACTTGTTCCTATCAACATGAATCATCTAGTTTGGCTCATCCAATCTACCAATGAATTTAAGAAAAATAATGAATGTAGACATTGTTAAATACACCAAAGATAATTGGGAATCTTTAAGACACGAATGGGAACCTTACGCTAAAAGAGATACGTTATGTCTCGGGGCTTGTTTGATAAAATACAATCAAGCCATGAAAGAAACTGTCTTCCAAAACGTTTCAAATAATCTAACGGCTCCTTCTTTATCTTTAAAGGGTTGGTATTATTTATATCATTACGATAAAGAAATGGTTGAAGAAGAATGGTATGAAACTACTAGAATGGTTCCGAAACACATTGAAAAAGAAAAAATAGAAAAAGTTTATTCACATACTCATCCTTTTATAAGATATTTTATCAGACAATCCATTAAAGGAGGAAGAGTTTCTGCTAACAGAAAATCATTTGAAACGAATAAAATGGATGAGATTTGCACCATTTTAAAGGAGTATCTAGAAAGTGACACTGAAGGAATAATAGATTTATTCAAAGAATACAGTGCTAGCACGAAAGATAAAACGGAAGTTCACGCTAAACTCAAAGAGCTGAACTATTCTAAACTGATGGCATTTGACGCTCTGGGTTGTACGCCTCTGCTATGACAGAAGGTGAATATCCAAAAACTGAAAGTGCAAGAGCGTTTCTACCATAAGAAAATAAAGAATTTCTCAAGCTCTTTAATGAACAGAAATTCAGACCTAGAACTGCTATTTTAAAAGTCTGGTTTGAATATCCCAAAAACATGTTCTTTCAACCGATACCAGCCAAAGATAAAATCACTTTTACGAATAGAATAGGAAAGAAGGAAACTGGCACTAAAATCAGGTTCAGAAATGGTTTTTGTCACGACATTTTAACATCGGTCGATATTCAAGAAATAGTGAAAGCCGGTGGACGAATTATTAAAATATTAGATGGTATAGTTTACGAAGAAAATTTTAAAACTCCGCCCTATAGAGATTATATTTTAATTTTGAAGGAATTAAGGAATAAATACAAAAAGGAGATGTGGTTGCCAATAACTGCATGAAGTTGTTAGGTAATTCCTTATATGGTAAATCTATTCAGAGGGATAGAAATACCTCATTGCATTTATGGAATGGAGAAACCTTCCGCCTTAATTACGACAAACACGTCAAGAAGTATGACAAAGTAAATGAGACTCAATACATTGTGGAGATTAATGACGAAGAAAAAGATTTTGGATTCTACGAGATTAACACCCACTCATTTAGGTACATTTATATTATCTCACAGTAAAAGAATAATGAACAATTTTATTCACGTCATAGATGGATTTTATAAAACGGAAATATACTATACGGATACTGATAGTTTATACATTTCGTTTAGTAATTGAGATAAATTAAATGAGGCGGGGTTGGTGTCCGAAAAATGATTATTGTAAAGGAAAGAATGATTACGGTGATGGTGGAATTATATATGGTTTATATTAGCGCCAAAAGTCAAATACAATATCATTCTAACTTCCGATGGTGTTTTAAAAGAAAAGAAAACGTTTAAGGGATACTCTAACTATAAGATTAAGGTAGACGATTATATTCAATTAGCTAGTGGTCACGATGTAACGAATGAATTTGATAAACCATGGGGAAAGAGTTTTACTGATGGAATAGTTATTCCTAATGAAAAACAAACTAAAAAATTTAGAAGTTATCTGAATCTCATAAAGAGAAAAACACCGGACGATGAAGGAAAAATGTATCCTTACAACTCTGGGGAGGAGATGTGCTTGGATGAAAACTACGAATTTGATGATTTTGATTATTTTACAAATGCATCTAATGATGATCCATCAGAATAAATTTAGTTCTTTTGTTTTAAATGAAGTTGAATAACAATTTCCTCGTTACCAAAATCTATAAACCTATTTTTACCATCTTTGATTTCCAGATTTATATCTTTAATCATAAAGGAATTATGTGGTAAATACGTCGTTTGAAATGGTTTCTCTATAATTCTATATCCTATCGGTACAGTGAATGTTGGAAGACTGTAAATAATCTGACGTTTGTATTTATTGAAAAATCCACCGTTTATCAAATTGCAATGTATATTTATCACATCGATATCATTCTCGATATTAGCTTTGTGTGGTGCTAAAGTGGATTGGGTGTTTAGTCGTTTATCAAATCCTAGTAACGTATTCAATGAATTTTCTACGTTGAAATCAACTTGACTATTAATTCTTAGTATCAATTTTATTTTGTTCAGATTCAAATTACCTTTGAATTCAATATTGTTTTTGACCATTTACACTTCCTCCATATTCAGATAGGTATTCGTTAATGGCTATGTATTCGTAGCTTCCTGGTAGTAAACGTATGGTTTTGAACGTAACTCCGTTATCTGTTGATATTTTTATTTGGTATTTTTTTTCGTTGATATTTATAATGGAATTGTAAACAGAGAAATACTTTAATCCCAATTCATATTCTTGATTGCGATCGTGTTCTTACTCATAATCTAGAGATAATTTAATTTTTGATTTATTTGAGGTGATGACGAATAGTTGTTCTTTATTTGACATTTTTAATCACGCTTTTATAATCAGTTTTATCTGTGATACCTTTTTCTAAGAGTCTCTTTAATATACAATTTACTTCATTATATTGTCTGTGCGATCGATGTCCTTCCTTCATTGCCGCTAATATTACTCGTAATCTGCATAATCATCTGATTACTCTTTATCAGGAATAACTTTATTTAAATATGTTTCAACTGCTTTCGATCTTCTTGTTTCGGGTCCCGACTTTCTCATTGCATTTAGAAATTTTGAGTATGCTAGTAAATCCTTGTAATCGGCAATGCCAATATACCCACCATTCATTAAATCTATTAATCCTCTCGTTAATGTAAATATTAAGTCTTTTGTATTGATTTTGAATATAGATGAATTTGCCCTAAATTTAATTCTAAATCCATTAAACAATAACCCCTCATCATCAATGATTGGTGTAATACTCTTTGGTAAATCCGCTTTAGGGTTTGAAAAAAGACTATTAATAACATCTAATGTCCTAATTATAATACCATCATATTCAATCGGTTTGGAGTGATGAGGTTCTATAGGAGGGATGAGTCTCTTTTTAATATCCTCTTGAGATTTTAATATGGGTTGAAATAGAGTTTGTAGATTTTCCGTTAATCAGAGTTGTTGTAATCTGTTATTTTCATCTTGGGTCTTTATTTTATTCTAAGCTTTGATATATTCTTTATTTCCTTTTGGAATATTATTCCAATCGTTACTCATTTAAAAAAATAAAATTAACATATGCCGATCATGGGGATCCTCAGAGTCGACC